CCTGTAATGCGAACTAAAAGACATCCGTCAGTATCAACTGAAGTCTTTTGTCCAACTTACAATTTAGAAAAACATGCATTAAACTTTGATGTTTTTCCAAACAATTTCAACGGTAGCGGATATTCTCATCAGATCTCGAAAGATATCGATCTAAACCTCCTTACTACAATGACAACCAAAACCTCGGATTTAACATTCAGATATCCCTTTACAAAACAACCTCTACATTTCCGTATCAAAGTACCTCACAAATTAACTCAGTCATATCAACGCAACCTTCATGGCAACCAATGGTTCATATGAATCCGGTTTCTTTAGTACTGGAGACATCAACTTTCCCACAACCCAAACTGCATCCTTATATGCAACCAACATTCAGCATGCATCAACAGACAAGGACCAACGCCGCGTCGATAACTTCTGGACCAACTTGTAATAACGCTTTTCTACCAGATAATAGAGAGCAAAGAAGCAACCCTCACCAATCTGCAAACTATTTTCTTCAACCATCTTTAATTCGAACCAATTCACCATAAACAACATTACCAGAGTTTGAAGGGCAAGTCAGCAATTTTCCTCAACTTACCACCTATTTTGACATAAAACGAGATAACAGAGACAAAATTGACTTCAAAACCACAGTCAAGTTACCACCAATTCAAATTCCATCATTTGATGGTAATCCTCTGGTTTTTCATGACTGGTTGAACATGTTCAATGCCACTGTTGATAGCAATACAACCATCAGCGATACACACAAAATTACCTACCTACAAAACGCCGTGACTGGTAAGGCGAAAGAGCTAATCAAAGGCTACTCATGCAACCCAGTCTTCTATAAACCAGCGCTAGAGGATCTTAAATCACGTTTTGGCGATACATTTATTGTCGTCAACGCGTATATAAAACAATTAGAAAAATGGCCAGCAGCCACCAAAAGCAGACATTTTTTTGTTTCTTTTGCCCCATTCCTGAAACAAATGGTGCAAACCTTCAAAAAATCTCAATTTTAATGCAGATTTGAATTCTTCTACTTTGACAAAGCTTGTCAAAAGTAAATTCCCACAAGATTTTCTACTTAAATGGACGGAATACACCGTGCGAAACGACACACAGGACACAGACGTTCAACACTTACAAAATTGGCTAGAAGTGCATGCGAAGAACTTCGACAAACTTCACAATCAATTTCCATCCTTCAACAATGCAGAACCGTCAACATTTAGCAGCAATGCCCTAGCGCCCTGTTACTCAAACGTTATATAAAGCAATCCACAGGCTTCCAAAACAATTGGACCTGAGAATTTCAACCAATACAGAATAAAGCGCAAGCAATGCCCTTCTTGTAATAACGAACATAACATCATGCAATGCCCACAGTACAGTTCTTCTACGCCACCTCAACGCTACAACATCGTAAAACAACTTGAACTTTGTGTCAACTGCTTAAACCCTCATCACCTCCGAACTACTTGTGTCTCAAACAACCGTTGTCAAGAGTGCAACGGATTTCATCACACAAGCCTTCACGACCCAAACAAGTTTAAAAAATCAACTTTCGTTGTCAACGCCCATCATGACTTGTTTCACAATACTATGCACCCAACCTTACAAGAACCAGTTTGGGGTTCCGACAATTTTTGTAAACCCGCACCCCAGGAAACCCGAAACTTTAATCAGCAGTCTGCAGATTTTAACCAAAAAAACAAAAGTACAAACCTAAAAGTAGAAGGCTTCCAAACCAACCAGACCTGAGCCGATATGGTGTCCAGCACTCTAACAAATCAGAACAACAGCTATCAAAAACAGAGATGTCATCGCAACAAAGCAAAGACGCAGCATGCCCAGAAAATCAGTGAGGATTCACTGCCTGTGAGTTTTCGAGTTTTCGATCTTAAATGCCAGTTGCAAAGGTTGATTATGCTGTTCACATCTCACCGCATGACAAACTGGACGTTAAGTTCTCAATGATTAATTTGTACAAAACTCCTTGCTAAAACATACCAGCGGCAGATGTGTTTAATTTGAACGAGATTTGCAGCTCTACCGACACACATCGCCATATTCATTTTCCACACCTCGATCATGGGAAGATTGGAGCTTTGCTTGGTGTAAACTCATTCTTGTTTACAAATCCTCTACACGTTATTGAAGGAAACAATTTATACCTTCAGCTGTGCAGACAAAATTCGGATCGACATTAGCCGGCGAATACCAGATGCCCACAAAAACACACAACGGAAACTTTTCAGACTAGTGCCCTCAATTTTTGATCCTCTGGGAATATTAGCACCAGTAACAATTTGTTCAAAGCAATTTTGCAATCAACGTGGAAATTAGGCGATTCTTGGGACTCATTACTGCCCGCTAACAGTCAGAAAGAACTACAAAAGCTGCTAAACCTCTTTGTGTCAATGAAACCAATCAGTCTTCCCCGAACACTTTTCAAAAGGCAATTAACAACACGGGATAATGTTCAACTTCATACGTTCACGGATGCGTCCTTGATATGAATGTCAGCAGTCGTATATGTGAGAGTCGAATATCAGCCAGAAAAACAATTGCCAACTCAATATGTAATAGGTAAGAGCAAAGTAGCTCCAATCAAGCAGCTGAGTATTCCAAAATTAGAGCTTGAAGCAGCAATTATTGGATTTTGACTAGTTGCATTTGCTAAAGTACAACTTCAGCTTAACGTCGATCCTGACGTACATATGTGTACAGACAGTCAAGTTGTAATTGATTGGATCAACTCGAAGAAAAAACAAAAAAGTTTTGTATCAAATCGTCTAGCCGAAATAAACGCTACTCATGAAAACAATAACTAGCACCATATATCGACTCATCTGAACCCTGCTGATCACGGCACTAGAGGATTAAAACCTATAGATATCGAATCAAAATGGTTAGCAGCCCCATCCTTTCTGATGTCACAACCATCTGAATGGCCACAAAAGTATTCCGTAATAGAAACTAATAGCGTCTCATTATTCGCCTCAGTGTGTGCATCACAAAAACCGTTTTCAGGTACTCCAGTCTTTGACATCAGTCGTTTTTCCTCGTGGAAAAAAAAAACTTTTGTTGACCATCGCCGCAGTTTTCAGTTTTTTCACAAAACTGAGCTCATCATCTGCAAAAGACCAAGACTTTAACGGAAAACATCGAAAAGATTGAAAGCATTCAACTAGTAACGATATGGAACGAGCGAGAAATTATATCATCATATCAGCAGAGCGAGAATCTTTCAGTGAAACCATCGAACATCTACAACAGAAGCGGCGCCAGGAAGCGAAGAACAAACTGGTTAAATTCAAGCCATACCTTGACCAAAAGCATATGCTTGTTCGCGCAGCAGACTCGAATTTGCCCCAACATTGGAGCTTGAATCACGTCACCCGCTGATTCTATTAGCAACTCATCCAACAGTTAAACTCTATGTAGAGCATGCACACCAAATTTGCATGCATCAAGGCCAAGAGTTCGTCAAATCTTTCGTGCAGCAGCTCTACCACATCATTGGGATACGACAAGCTCTTCGTTCAATCGCTCATCATTGTTTCTTGTGTCGACGATACAAAGCAGACAACCTCCAGCCAATCATGGCACCATTAGCACTGAAGCGATATCCCGACGAAAATCATCTTTTCCCGTTCACTAATGCTGGAGTAGACTTTTTTGGCCACTTCTATATTTGAAACAAAACAGATATTAAGACACATTACGGTATATTTTTTACTTGTTTTGCAACTAGAGCTAATCATTTCGAAAACTGTCCAAATCTGAACACTGATTCACTTATGAACGCAATAGGTCGGTTTACAGCTAGACGGGGAACTCCAAAAACGCTCACCAGTGATAACGAAAAAACGTTTGTTGGAGCCTCTAAAGAACTAAAAGACGCCATAAAAATGGTTGACAATAGAGCCTGCTCTTTCAAGCTACAACGGCAAAACATCCAGTGGTTCTTCAACCCGCCATATGGCCCTAATTTCTGTGGCGCTTGGGAACGCTTGATTCAGATTGCCAAGAGAACAATCCTCATCATTCTTGGATCGCGAAAACTCACACTTGATGTTTTTCAGACAATTTTAACCGAAACCGAAATGATACTGAATTCGAGACCCTTGACAATTGTAACTGATTACCCAGAAAATGACGAGCCACTGACGCCAAATCACTTTGTCATTCAACGACCTTTCAGCAGCCTTCCACCAGGATTATTAGACGACAGCATGCCATTAACATACACTAAATGGACCCACGTTACCGCTCTTGTTAAGGTGTTTTGATTTTTTTTGCAACGCCTTTTGCGCCGTTCCAGACAATTCGGGGCCCCGGGAGTATGTTGCCGAAGCAACTACATTTTCCCAATCTTTATAAATCAAAAGTCACTGTGATCAAATATTTGTAATCTCTGTGATATAAACACTCTCGAAACAAACCAGAACTAAGAAAGTTGACTCTTGAAGCCATGTTTTGACCTAAAGTGACAAGTCAACTACATGTCAAGCGCATCAAAAAAATTGTAATAACTTCATGTCAATAATTTTACACAATCAGATGAAATAAGGAGGTAGCAGATCAATAACTGAGGCACATATTTGGCAACTATCGTCAAATTAAGATTCACACTCTCATGCTCTTGGATTTCAAAAAAATTGAAAAATTCAATTGCTTCACCATTCACCAATTGAAGAACGCTTTAAAAATATTTGATATAGTTACGTGCTTCTCGCCAATTTCAAAAAATCTTTTTTTTTAAGTTTTCACGTAATTTTTTTACTAGAATATTTCAAAAAAAGATAGCTAAAAAATGATTTTCCGATAAGCTTAATGTAAACAAGCAAATTTAGTGCCGCGAAGGAAATTGGAATTCTAAAACTTCTGCTTAAAATTTAAATCTAAAATTTTGATAAACTTTCTACAGTCAAGTCAGGCATTTTGTTTCTGCGACAATTTTCTGCGAAAATAGAAAAAAAGATATTCGAGAGAAAACTGAATTATGTTGTGAAATAAATTTGAAATGGGACTGAATCGATAGAATGAGATAAGTGATGTTATAAGTTCCTCTCCCGACTCATTTTGCGTTGAATTGGCTAATTTTTGCTCTCTTTATCCCAGATTCAGATGGTGTTGCCAGTTGTCTTTGAAGCGCTTCGATTCTGTTTTTGCTTCCAACTCTGGATTTGAAGCAAAAGAAGATCCGCCTGGCGCAAAATATTTTCGGCTCTAAACACAACAGACAATGTTTATCGTATCCAATTAACAAGACACTGCAACCAATCGGCAATGCCTTAGCAGCACGCGGAGTCGATCTGGAGTATTTTAAATTTCCATTTGGGCAAAAAGTTCATTTTCCAAATTCCAATTTCATTTGTTTGCTTTAAAATAAGGATAATTTTAAACAATTTTAAATTCCTCTAAGCGGCTTTATATCGGTTTGATTTGATTCCGACAACAAGAAAAGGGATCACGTAACATTCCCCAAATCGTTGAGGTGGAGGATGTTAACTTGGTTCTGATTTCGAGTTCTGATTTCGAGCCAATTAAAAAAGATCATTTCAAACGCAGCGCGTAGCAAACTTAATTTAAACAAGACTGCTCGTATATCAACAAAGCGCTAAACCTTCCGCAGCCCCTTAATTAATGCCGAATAGTAAAAAGAAAATTTTGAAAAAGAATAAATTTTTGACAATATCAAAGATGAAGTGACACAATTGAGTCGTCCGAAATTAATACGACCAATTAGCTCGCCTCAATTCATTTTGGAACGATTTTAGTGTCCATGATAACTCGCCATGCATGAATAATTCGAGTTACGTTTTCAGGATTATAGATGGAATCTTCGGAGCGCTAATAAATTAGTCCAGAGTAGGGCCAAATGACATTTTCAAACTCAAAAAACTTTGCAAAAAATGATTAGAGATAAACTTTTTTAAATTAGATTTTAAGGAGTCGATATTTTCAATGGGGCATAAAATTTTTTTGTTAAAAACCATTATTTAATTGCCGAAAATTGATTCCGTGAAAATGCATACCAAGAATAAATAATAAAATATTTCGTTTTTCTTCGAAATTCGGAACATGAAATTGCTTTTGAATAGTTTACGTTCATCACTTTTCATCATATCAATAGACAGCTGGATAAAAAATATAGCAATTTTTGAAAGTTAATAAGACTGCTTATATATCAAGTCGACGCCCCGAATATTCTGACTGCACTTTACGACGAATTTAAAAAAATTTTGGTTAAAAACTGACAAATTAATCGAAAATTGTTTTTTCATTTCTTTTTAAATTTATCTTTACACGTTAATGTTAACTACAAAAAGATGTATTTAGCACCTTGTATCCTGAAAATACGACCAAAAAATTTCCTTCAATTCATTTTGAACGCATTGATCAGCCGCTTACGCGTGTTTTAAGAACGCAATGTATCGTGCGTTAATTATCCCAATTTGGGCAATTGAGCAATTTTCAAACCCCCATATCTTTACGAAAAATGATCAAAAATGAAATATATTTTTGAACTTGAGCTCATAAAAACAACATCTCTCAGTTGGTATGGAAAAATCCCGTCAAAAATTCTGAATTATGAAGTCGAAATTTGACTTAAGAAAACCACCTAAGCATAAATAATTCGCTTTTTTTCGAAAATTGGAACAACCAGTAGTTTTTTTGAAAGTTATCTCACACTCTTTTATAACTGACTGTGAAATGATTTTTCCTCCAACATTTTTCTTAATATCGATGATTGTCATTCTTTTGGAAACTTTCGGGCTCAACTCATGACTCAAGAGAAACGGTCTAGAAATGACAATTTTCAACTTTATGATGGGAACGATTTCCATATTCGACATTGTTTGTCGAAAAATGTCCACATTCGAATTTTCCGGACACTTTTTGCCTGTGTTCGAACTTATTCAACTTAAACAGACATCTTTTGACTTTTTTCAACTTTACCGAACAATAATTGATTTTTGCTTAACTTTGTTCGACTGTCACATAATGTCGAAATCCAAATGGATAATATGGATTATGTTTTACAGGGTAAAGCTTGCGATCCTTGATTCGAGTCTGCTCGAATAATGATTCGATCCATGATTGGACGTTGGTTCGACCGAAACCTTCGTTCAGTCGTGTCAGGTTGGGTCAAAAACCAGACATTATTCCACTATTTCTGTGAACATATGGGTCGAACATCTGAAACCGGGCTTTTTTGAAATAGGCTTTGTCGTGTTTGAAAAAATACAGGAGGGATTACATTGAAAATCACTCATCGCTCACGAGACAATGTAAAGTTCAAAAAACTTGAACTTTTATTCAAGAAATTATTCAATCTGATTGAATTTGGCAAAAAAAAAACTTTTTTCTAAGCTCACAATTGAGTAATTGTCCGATCAGTGCTTCAAGTTCATTCAAATAGTATTTTAAAATGTAGAAGGAACTTTTTAAAATTCCCATTGTTGAATGTTTGATTGATAAGAGGAAGTATTTGCGGGACAAATTACAGTTTTTAGCAACCCAGCTCAACAACAGATCGAAACGATAAATGGCATCGCCTTCAGCTGAAAATATGCCATTGAAAATAATGTAAAATCATTACTTTTGCAGACTTTTGGTAGTTTCCTGTTGAAGCTATGTACGCTAATCATCTTTCATAGGCCCACACTACGCTTCCGCCCAATAGATAAAACTCTCTTAGATAAATGCTATGCGAAGTTCGGCTATATGATTCTTTTTTCTGAGGTGAAGGTACAACAAAAGCCAACAAATAGGTATAACAAAAGCCAACAAATAGGTATAACAAAAGCCAACAAATAGACGCAATAAATTTAAGACAAGCTGTCAACTCTTATTAAGCTTTTCATCTACTTTTTTAAATTCAAAAATACTGATGCTGGATCAATAATACACACTAATTTAATGCCTTGGTATCTTACTCAGTATATTTTGTGCTATAATTTGTAACAGGTTAAAACAGTAGAACAGCTATATCAATAAAAAACGAAGACTCTCAGCTCGTTATCGAAAAATCAGACATTTTGAAACGAACATAATGTCCTAAAAAAAAGAAATGGATAAATCAAAAACTTTAACATCTGACAGAGAACCTCTGCAGTTGAATATTTAACTATCGAACAAAAACAGAGATTAAGAACTCGGGGCCAACAAATGTTTAAAAAGTATTTCGGAAATAAAACTATACTGAATTTGGTGCAAGTATGATAGTTGGATCCCTAAAATTAAAAGCCGACGCCTTGTTCTCAGGAATTCGACCCACTGTCGACCCAAAGGGTCCCCCTTGTACTGTTTTGAGAAACCCATTTTTGTGTGCGCTCATTCTCTATAACTAGGAAAACATTGGTTGACAACAATAAAGTTTTATTTGTATGTCGATAATCGGTAAGTAATCCCAAAAACTCAAATGAATTATGTTCATAAATTTACCAACAAGACTGCTCGTATCAGGGCGAAACCCTGAATCTTCCGACTGCCTTTTAAGGTTTATGGAGCAGTAATAACGTTTAAAAATTCAATGAAATAAAACCAAATAAAAAATTTTTTTCTAAAACTTGAATTTTTTAATGAAAATCATCCCCCCACACGCCATACAAAGTACAAAAGGATAGATTTCGCTCCTTGTAACAAACCAATTATAACTTGCCTATAAACTTCTTTTAACCAATTTGGAACAATTTTTAAGGCGGATTAACTCTCCGCTTACGCGTTAATAGCGCGAAATATATCGCGCGTTAAATGTCCCAAATTGGCCAAAATGGCTATCTTTAAACCCCCGTTACTTTACGAAAATTGATCACAGGTAAAATATCTTTTCAAGTTTGAGCTCAGGACAACAATACCTTTCGATTGATGTAGAAAAAAATCCGTCAAAAATTGCTAGTTAAAAAGTCGAAATTTGTCTGAAGAAAAAAAAACCCCACCCCGAGCACAAATATTCCGTCACTTTCGTATCGAAAGTCGGAACAATAACCTCCGACTTTGAAATAACTCGGCGCAATATAGCCAGAAGGGTACTACTATGATAAAGTGGTGCCTCCAAAAAGCAGCTATGATAGACAAGTCCCGCATGAATTTCGCTTGTTATAACTTTGAAACCTAATTTGTGTATAAATTATTCATTTCAAAAATCTCGCGAAGTATGCTGAGTCAGAAACCACTCAGATTTAAAATTGTTTAAGACTGCTCGTATCAGGGCGAAGCTATGAATGTTCCGACTGCCTTTTGAGGTTTCATGAGCAGTAATAACAAAAAAATATATAAAAAAATTATATGAATTTTTTTTTCTCTAAAATTTGACATTTTTTTTTAAATCATCCTTCCACACGCCATATAAAGTGCAAAAAGTTAAATTTCGCTCCTATTATTATATCAATTATGGCATATAAGCTTTCTCGAACCAATTTGGAACGATTTCTAAGACGGATTAAATCTCCGCTTATGCGATAATAGAGCGAAATATATCGCGCGTTAATTGTCCCAAATTGGCCAAAATGGCAATCTTTAAACCCCCATAATTTTACGACAAATGGTCACAGGTGAAATATATTTTCAAATGTAAGCTTAGGACAACAATAGCTTTCGAATGATATTTAAAAAAATCCGTCAAAAATGGCTAGTTAAAAAGTCGAAATTTTTCTGAAGAAAAAAAACCCACCCCCAGCACAAATATTCCGTTACTTTCGTATCGAAAGTCGGAACAATTACTACGTTCTTTATCTCAAGGAAATTGCTAGCTTCATTTTATATACTGTTTAACAACCAAACTTGGGACAACTTATTTGTCATCAAAATTCAACTTTGGCAATATTTTTTTGATTTTTTAACCTTTAAATGGCCAGGTGGGAGGTTTTAAAAAGCAACAAAACATTAAATTTGTTTGAAAATAATTTGCGACATCTTTGTAAATGGCGAAATTGTAATTATTAAACATTTGAGAGCTCTAGGTATCTTATTCTCAGAGGACTTGGTCATTTTCAAGGGACCACTCTATCATAGTAGTACCGCCACAAGAACCAGTAATGTCGTTGAGATAAATTGTTTTTTTTTGACGGCCAGCCTCCATCAAGGCTGAACCGAATTAGAGCGAAAAAACGGTTAATGTTTTCAAATAGGATGATAACATCTTTTTTAGTATGTTAAAACATGTGCAGGTTGGGGACTCGAACCTACGCCGGACTGGTAAGCTAACAGTCGGACCCTAAATCGGCGACAAAATGTACTAAATTTAAGCGGGAAGCGCACGCCGAAAAAACGCGATTATTTAGTCAACATTTTCCGAAAAGTGCCTAAAACGCTTTTTTGGCCTGTTTATTCAAAATTTTGCCTTTTCGATTTTTTTTGAAAATCCGCCCCTCCCGAGAAAATCCTAGATTCTAGATTCGCCCCTTCCTTGATGTAAATGGAAAATAAGTATCATGCCCTAATTCCTATTTGAAAATAAAGAATTCTTCTACACTAACAAACAATTTCAAAAATTGATAAAAAATGAACTGAAGTTTACCAAGGGTGTCCGTGGAAAAAGTGATGTGTAGTCATCGTCACGTGATCCTTCCAGAGGGTCCATCCAGGCACCAAAATTGTCCCCCAGTTGAAGCCCTGCTGGAACTACGAGAAATCGAGGCAACTCAAACCCCTCGCGCTCCCTTAACGACGACGTCTGGGGTAGTTTATTTTCCGGGTCCCAGGGTGTGATATGTCTGGGTGCGAGCAGGGTCCGGTCGTAGTTGTTGTTGTTATTGTTGTTAAATTTGTTGGACCAGCCGGACCGGCCAGAGGCTGCGGAACTTCTAGCCACCACGGCTGTGGGTGTAACAAGGAGAACTAACAGCGCATAGATGCATCTGTGTGTGGTGCCTGAAAAAAAACAAGGAATATCAAAACGAGCCATATGGTGGATGTTGCAATGAAAGCAGTTGCCCAAACTAAGTTCCAGGCATGTTTACTAAATCATGACTACACTTATCAAAAATTTGACCACAAATCAAGTCTCAGAATAACCATACTGCTACAAATTGTGTTTTCTAAAACGAAAAGTTTTATACAATTAAATTAAAACTGTTGTATCTTCAAATTTTGTTTTGAAATTTGTCGAGAATCCTAGAGGTCTCCCAAATCACTAGAAAAAAAAACAGGCTGAAAGGACGTTTTTACGCAGTTTTGTAAGGTTTAAAGGAAACATTTTTTTCCTGGCGACCTGCAGAAATCCCTTTTGACAACAAATAAAGGAATTTGACTCCAACCTTGACCAAAGATTTTTTCTTTAAAATTTGTTCCAAGGGCGCCGGTTCCTTTGTAGCAGTTATCAAACAAAATGTTGAGATGTGAGAAGATCTAAGTTGTAAAATGAGTCCAACTGGTAACGGTAAATCGCCCTTAATTCAGCCCTATTTGTCCCAAATTACCTTTCTCATGTCAACACTAGCTATATAATTTCACTACAGCGATACCCGCATTGGAGCTTTATGAATAAAAATTGATTACAATTGATTTTCAAAGTCAGTGTCCACAAAAGTGAAAAAAGTTGATTATAATCAATTAAAACTAGACTTACTAATATTAATATTTTTCGAGGCAGCAAAATCCATTTTAAATCCATTATAATCAATTTTTTTCTCACTTTTGTGGACATGGCAATAAAACCGACAAGTTCAGGTGCGTAGGTTTGTTGATGTGCGGGCGGGGGGTTAGGGTTAGGGTTAGGGCTTTTTAATTAGTATTTTACATGGTTTTTTTTGTTTTAAAATTTTTTTGGTGCTTTGAACTGTTGTACTTCATTCTCATATTGTTAGCGGTGAATGAAATCATTTCTCCCATTATTTTCTTCAAATAACTCCTTACAGATTTGAAGTTTTTCACTTTGCACTTGACTCTGCGTGTGTGTTAGTGTATTTATTTGTGCCGGGAGTGGGGAAAAAATTAAGACCATTTATCCACGAAGGAAAGGACCAACATACGAGCTGTGCAGCTCATCACGGAGAACCGCTGTTGTGCCCCTGCTTAAGATCTAAGTACATGCAATTTTTTTCCGGACTGGGTAAGGTTGCCTCACACTCAAGCAACGAGCACAGATCATGTGGGATCTCGAATATCCGACCTTTCCATTGAGAGGCGGTGACGTAACCATTTCACCGTCGCTCCTCCAACAACAAAAATAGAAATAAATTGTAAATTTTGATTTTTTTTTTGAAATTTTTTTTTCAAATATTATCAAAAAAATCTACTGACCAATGCTTAAAAGATATACGGAATTTTAAGCTGAGTTTTGGTCACTGCACTTTTCTTTTATGATAGTTTAGTCGCTTGTTGGTCGTGTAATAAGCAACAATCTAAGATGAAATACTATTAATGCTCGTATCAGGGCTAAGTACTAATTTTTCTTTTTGTACATTCAATTTTTTATTTTTTTTTCAAATAATCAAAAAGAGACTTTTTTCTTTTAAAATGTTTCCACAACCCCCCTGTAAAGTGTAAAGTGGTGTATGATTGGACCAGTTAGCTAATCTCAAATCAAATTGAATTGATTTCTGACTGAACTTTGTACGCGTCAAAAAAAACTTAAGCGAAATTTCTCTCAAACTAATTATCCATTTTCTCAACCTCTATATTTCACAAACAATTGTTTTGAATGATTTTTTTTGAGCTCAACGCAATGATATTTGTCAGATCGCACCAAAACTCTAAAATTGGTTTAAGTAAAAAATCGAAAGTATCGTAGCTGAAAACCAGGCAAGCATATGTATTCCATCCCTTTCGCTGAAGTTAAGAACAAAAATACAAAATCGTGTTTGATTTCGTTGACAACCAATAGGTTCATACTGCATGCCCATAAGAGTCTGGTTTTTTATTCTGTGTTTTATATATCTACATGTTATACATAGTTAATTTTTTTTTGCAGTTCACCCAGACTAAAAAATTGGTTATTAGCTTGCCCGGTTTACTTTTGCAAAGGGATGTATGCAGGCAACCACGCATCTTTACAGGCGTCAAATGGAAAAACCTAGTCAGTCCAATAGTCCACTACCTTAAATATCTCTTGCGAAAAACCGTTCTTCACGCAGTTTTCAATGATACTACCCGAGCAGCAATTATTGTTCCGACTTTTATCAAGGAAAATGACAGAAAATTTCTTGGGGTAGTTTTTTCTCCAAACAAATTTCGACCTTTTTACTAGCTTTGTCCGGCGGATTTTTTTTACATCAGCCGAAAAGTATTCTTGCTTTCAGCTCACTTTAAAAAAGATATTTTATATGTGAGTGTTTTTCATAAAGTTTGGCTAATTTGGGGCTCAAAGATCGCTAATTTTGCCTATATAAATATCCCAAATCCCAGTTGTAAGTTTGTATAAGCTCTACATTTTGATTGTTGAGATGCTCCAGTAAGATGTTTACTGTTTGAATGATAAATCGACAGTGATGGCTGTTCAAATGATAGAAGAGTCAAATTAAAGGAAAATTTCATCCATTAGACTCATCTAAAATCATAAAAAATTCTTACGGGCGGAAAAATTTGTGCCATAAACCAAAAAAATATATATTAAAAAAAATACTTTACACTTTACCCAATACTTAACACGTCCAGCAAAAAAAAACAAAGAAGTTATTATTGATTCCCAGTGGCCCAGAGGTTGTAGTTTGAAAGTATATTGGTTTTATAGTCTAAAAAAGAGTCGCGGTGTTGTCGGAAAAAAGGTTGCGATACAGCTGAAACATGATGAACCGCGGCGTAGTCTGAAAAAAACTCGCAATAAACTGGGCATATAATTGCGAAACAAGTAGCTTAAACCACGGATTTTGCAGTCATCGTCTTAAACAGGAGTTCGAAAGTAAGCATAGTTGTTTTTAAGTACTTGATATTGTTATGATAAAGCCTGAGTTTTCAGAAAGAAGGGGAAAAATATTTTGTTTTATGAGAAGTTTAGCAAATTTTTTTATTATAAGCCAAGTGATGCCTAATGGTATAGCAAAAACCTTTTAATGGTTAGTATGCTTTAAAATGCATGAATAATTATAATATTTAAATTTTGTAGCAATTACAAAATATATCAACCCAGAGAATTACACCAGTCGTAGTAAATTTTTCATTGGTCGCGCTCAATTTTTCTGCGGCCGTCTCTGTATCGGATAGTTTTTGTTTAGTAGGGTCATTTGCGGATATTTTTTTAAAAGATGAAACTGTCGCTGACCTATGTTCCGATTCAAAATTTATGGAAATACCTACTTTTGGTTTGGCAGCTTAAAATTACAGAGTTTTTGGGCGACAATCTTGATATAACAAAATTCGATTGAGATATTTGTCTCATAGAAACTCAACTTTAGCCCGGGTTTGGCAAAATCTTTGAGGTTTTTGAATACTCAATTTTGATTATTCAAAGTTCTTTTTCTAGCAATTGCTATCACTCGGAAAGACATGTTACCGATGGCATTGAATTTGATATATTCTTCAAAAAACATGAAAAAAATAAGACTCCTTGTACTTGTCTGAGACGACCTGGTTGTTCCGACTCCCCTTTAAGGTCTAAAAGTTGTCTTCGTTTTTTAGAATCATCCTCCAACAGGTTTATAGTTGCCTTATAACTAGAATAACTAGCATCACAAAATTCAATTTGGAACCGTTTTTGAGATAGTGTAAGTCGACGTTTACGCGTTAAAAGCGCGAAATACATCGCGCGTTCATCATTCTTAATGGCCAATTTAGCCAGTTTCAAACCATCATAATTTTGGGGAAAATGATCACAGGTTGAATAATCGCTGTTGAAGTTTGAGCTCAAGTCACTTACAGCTTTAAGATAAAGTAAAATCTACCTTCAAAAATGAATCCAATCGAAATTGATCCGTTCAATAAAGTACCCCGAGCAGGGGCGGATCTAGTGTTTTCTCGATTGGGGGTGGTTTTTTCAGGTTTTCAAAAAATTTAACAATTTTTTTTTAGTTCGACTAAAATGGTTTTCAGAGATCTCCTAATTCACTATACAGACTCTTTATAAATCACGGTTTCGGATAAAATTAAAAAAACAAAAACAAGCCTAAAACGATTTTAAGTCTTCTTTGGAAATAGTTTGAACACAAAAAATAGGACTTTTTCAAAATACATATAAATTGGCACCAAAAATGTTCATAGAAAAACTTTAGAGTCGAATAGCAAAAACAAAAGGACAAACAGTGGGATCCTTTGGTGGTCAAGGGTTCAAGTTTATGACCACCCTATCCTCTTTATCAGCTCATAAACTTTTTTGAAATTTTTTCTAAAATCATCCCATACATAGCGTGTGGGGAATGATTCTCGGAAAAAATCAAAGCGATGAATTTCGCATATATCAAAGTTGTAAGTAGACCAAAAAACATGACTCAACTCAATTTGCAACAATTTCTAAGACGTAATAAATAGCCATTTATGCTGTAGTAGCACGAAACATATCGCTCATCAATAATCCCAAATTGGCAATTTTTATTCCTCCAAAATTTTATGAAAAATGATCACAAGTGAGAGTTTTTTTTTAACAAATGAACTCAGGACAACAATAGCTTTTGGCTGATTTAAAGAAATTAGTTTATTTTTACACAGTAGAGGTCTTATGTTTTCTTGGAGCTGAAGTTAAACTAGAGCATTGGATTTGCATATCTGGACTATTGAAACGCATCTTCAATTTTCGCCAGTAAATTTTTGCATGAAGCAAGTCCTTCCAGGTGTTGGTTCTCACTAGGAGTAACTCTCTGCTGTTTCGAGTTGGAAGAGAGAAACATAAAGGAAACATGCGCACAAAGTTTCAAACCTCTCAAGTTTGCTATAGTTTTTATCTTCTACACGTTGGGCTGGGCTAAGATTTGGATTTTGCCTCCTATAATTTTTTTGTCTCG